AATCAATTTTAAATCATGCTTTTTATTTGTTCTTGTTTCTAATGTCTCTGTAAAGCACTTTGAATCACCTTGTTGTTGAATTGTGCTATACAAATAAACTTGCCTTGCCTTGCCTTGCCTAAATTATTCTTACTTGCAGTAACACCACTATTTTCTATGGGCATAATGTCATATCCTGTTTTTGTGTGTGTGTGTGTATATATATATCACTCTTTAATCACACTTCACAGTGCACCCGTCACGAAAACACTTACATGTATATGTGAGTGGTGCTAGTCAATCAATCACTGACTACTGCAGTTTAAAGTTATGAATAAATATGACTGAATACAACAATCATAAGTTAGTAGAAAATAGTTAGTAGAATTAAAGCACAAAGAATAGAGCAGAGTTTCCATGACTGAGTAGAACACAGAAAAGTTTATCAGTTATCTGTTATGTGTGTGGCGGATGCTTAAGAAATAAAAATAACCATGTACAAGTCACTAAAAGCAGTTTCTCATCTAGAGTGTGCCACTGTTTGATCACTGACACTGACGTAGAATTTGATTTCATATGAAATAATAATTTTTAATATTCCTTTTCATTCGGAAAGGAATGTAAAAAACAAACTCTGAAAGAGAAAACACTGCAATCCTATGACAGGAAACATTCAGTCATGGGTCTGCATAGTAGTGCATTGCAGTTCAATTAGTAGCACTAAATTGCCCATAGGTGTGAATTAAGATTCATTATAATGATACCAAAAAACCCATTGGACCCATTTCAACCATACAAACATTGCACAAATATCACATTGGGAAGACAGGTCAGAGAGAAATCGCATGGTTAGAAAACAATGAAATTCACAACATCCGGGGACAAGAGGAGAAAAAAGAACTTTACTCAGACTGAGCTTAGGAGAGCAGTTAGACAACAGAAAAAGGGTGATTGTATGTCTGTGTCTGTGTACATGTGTATCCTGTGTCCAACTTGAGAGACAGAGTGTCCTTACACCCTGTCTTAAACAGAAGTCAACAATCCCCTAGCTGACACAAGTGATCTCGAAGAAGTAGGAGGATAAGGCAGAGAGTCAACACAGTCTTGTAATCTGAGATTTGTTGTTCCATCTTCAGTCTTGGAGCTTCCAGCTCGTGAGGGGAGGCCACATGAAGACAATGGTTGTTTGGGTTTGGATTGGAGCGAGGAACTGCATCCACTTTTGCAGTTGATCTAATGTCCATCACTGGTACCAGGATCTATCGATTCCCATTATTTGAGTCACAACATTTATTTTTCTTCTGTAAAATGAAACCAAAAGAGCAGAGTTAGATATTCTTTCTGTTTCTAGTTCTAGGCAATCCCCAGGAAGATGAATGGTTATACGAGGGGATTTCCACAAAATGTTTTTCTCTCCTTACCGTTCTCTAGTTTTGCTGGTAGCATGAGATGGTAGCTGCAAGCCTTTCAGGTCACACAGATAATCCAGCTACTCCAGGATGGCAAATCCACACATGCTCTTGCAAGAAAGCTTGCTGTGTCTCTGAGCACAGTCTCAAGAATGTGGAGAATATATGTGCATATTTCTGACCAAACTGTCAGACTCAGACTGCATGATAGTGGCATGTTGTGAGCACAAATCATTTAGTGAGATTTGTGCTCACAAGCCACCGTGCAGTTTAATACCTATTCCTGTTTAAGGCGTTGTGTTAGTGTTGCATGTCCAACACACCTGTTGCCACTTTCATCTCATATCTCTGAAGTTT